CCGTAACACGACAGCTAGTATCTTTGTACACTGGTCTCTAGCATGCTCTGTTGGGAGTTGGTATGTATTTACACTGGCATGTACGCTGGCTGCAGGGGCACAAGTGAATGTCGGTAATCTGTCTATGCGGGTAGTGCATGCATTCCGGGGAGGCTAGGTCACTCGCGTATTGGGGGGTGCCTTGAAGAAAGAGTTAAAACAGAGTGTGATGAGACTCGTGAGTATCTGCCTCCTCTCCGCAGTAGCCACATTCATTTGTGCAGCGATGGCCAGGATGCTTGGAGAGTGGTGGAAGGAATGTAAACTGCGTTTTGGGGTTAGTATCGAGGACTCACGCTAAGCTTGGTAGCACAGTACGCTTCATCCGGGCAGCAGCGAGCAGCGAACCATACCCCTCTAGCAAGGCTGTCGGCTACATAGAGCTGGTTCGTTGAAAGAGCGCCAGGGGGAAATAAAGATTTTCTATTATGTCCAAAATGTTTGAAAACCCAGGACCTTCCCCTTTTGCATAAAAAATATTGATGAGCATCTGCCGGCTGCTGGTAGAGACGCGGTTAACTGCTGGGCCGCTCGTCGCACTAGGACGAGCATAAGGCCCGCAACCTGGGGCGGGAGCCGTGAGGACTTCCTTACTACCCGTGAGTTGTATTTTCACCGGAGTTGTGCTTTTGCCTTCCAAATGCACCCGAAGGTCTGTATTTTTTATTTGGGTCTGTATTGTCATCTCCCTCATAAGAGGGATAGGCAAGACAATGGCAGTCGTATATACAACCAGTGGCATCACTTCTCCGGAAAGCATCCAGAATATAGAAGCTCTCCAAAATGCGCCACCATGTAGGTTTATCCACCGGCCAACAGAGGAACGGTGTATAGCAGGACTGGGAAGGGTTAATCCTGCGAGAAGTATTAGCTGAACAGAAGTCCGACGATGGGCTCAGAGATTCTGTATCAATGGTTCATAGTAGGGCTATGTCCTGCAGAAAGGCAACAGGTAACCGCTCGAGCTGCGGAGAGGAAAACAAGGGTTAAAAGGGTGGAACTCGCCCAGACGATGGGGTGATTATGCTCCAGAAAGGTACAAAATGGCGCTTCCATTGCTGTAGATAGAAAAAAAGAACAACCCTTTGGATACGATCCAGAGGAAGAGCCTATGCATGCTGGAGAAGTGACTTCCAGCCCCGCAAATTGACAGGTACGACGCGAGAACAGACGAAACAGGCTAATCAGGCACTCAGAAAGGAGGGGGGACAGTACACAGGGGAGCATTTGCTTCTGTTGCAACGATCAAGGCCACGTAGCTCGGGACAGCAGACTTCTAAAAAGAACTCGTGAACTAAAGAAACAAGAAGTTGAACGGTGCAGTCATCGGAGCCGACAAGGATACCAGGAGAACGTCCTGGCAGCAAAGGAACGGCCCACCCAAGGGGAGGAAATTGTGCGGGAGTACAGCCTGCCTGTCTGCTAATATGAGCTGTCGCTGCAATGGGGTTTCGCCGAGGGCAAGCAGGATGCAAAAGAAACAATAAGACTGTGGGCACCAGATGCAGGCTCAAGATAGCCAGGGCATATTACCATGATATGGGAGTTCCAGGTTGGAGAACTTCACTGCCGTATAGTCCTAGGCATACCGCGAGGGAACCACTGGAGGTGGCTCATGCGAACACCATGCGATATTATTATCCTGCGTGTGCCGGGAGCCAATGCTACAGTATACCTCCCAGAGCTCCCAATAGATGTTGTGTTCTCTGCAGTAAGAGGAGTGGAATCAATGTTCCAAGAACAAAGCAGCTAGGCGACTCCTATGCAGTTCACAAAGGCACTGCAGAAAATGAAGGATATATGCATGCGCTCCGTCACAACACTTTTCTGTATTCCTCAGTTTGGGGGGTTCGATCCAGTTAACACCCGAAGGACAGCAGAACTGGGCACAATCGAAGGAGTAGGTTGCGGATGTTCGTTACTATCAGTTGGGTAGCAAGGATCATCAACCATGCAGGCCACCCGCTGGACTTCCAGAGCACAGTATTGGGCTTATAGTGTTGATTTTTCATGTAAACAATACACCTCGTATAGCTTCATCTTTCTGCAGCAGGAGCCATCAATACCGAGAGAAGATCGACACCATCCGGAGGTGGCCGCTTCCCCCCAACACTTGTATGAACGTTCACAAATTTACTGGTGTCGCCTCACGCTACCGTAACTTCATCCCTGAGTTCACTCTCATCGTTTGCCTTCTAAAAGATCTAATCAGCAAGCAAAAGCAACTTATTTCGACGCAAGAAAAAGAAGAAGTCGCCAGAAAACCCACAATACACCTACCGGCATGACCACTGGCCTCGCCCCCGTAACTCGTTCCCAGTTGATAGTGGGCTTGACCTCAAGGTGAGACTCAGTAGCAACAGCTCGTTAGGATTAGTATCGACGCTAAAGCCTAGGAATGGGGCTTACATACTTCTCCATGCGCGCTGCAGTCGTAGCTCTGTGGGGTCTATCTACCCCTAGTTGCCTTCACTGCTGAGAGTGTAAAATAATAAGAATTTCAGTTTGTGTGTGCGATAAGAGCTTTTTCTTGGGCGTGACAGAGCTCGTCGTGTCGTCTGAGTGAATATTTTGAGCCGATAGGGTTGCGTGTGTTTGCCTCATCGAGTGGTGGCTCGCACCACCCACCCCGGTAACACACTGTATACACGAGCGTGTCCACTGGTGTCAGTGGTGCGCCTGAAACAGCAGCCGCAGTGGAGAGATGCGTGTCTATGGGTCTCAGAGCTGAGCATAGAACAGCTTTCTGGTGCACATTGTATCGTGCCTTTTCAGAATATGAATAGCTGCTGCTGACGGCCGTCTCGGGATGAAGGAGAAAAAGAGATAAAAAAAGAAGAGAGTCTAGGGAACCTTTTTAATTGCTTAATATGATAACTTGAGATTAGTTTTATCGCTTTGTCTTCTGCTGTTGCTAGCTGGTGGTTGTGGGGGTCCTACACCTGTATATGAAGGTTGAGGAGGGCTCGATGGTGGCGGCTGGATCCTCCTGGTCTGTTGGGGTGTATAGGGTGTTCCCATGAAGGAAAACTTTTTAAATTTAGCAAATGAGTCAATTGAATGTTTCTAAAAACAAATACAAGTTTATTTTTCTGGATTCTGCACTTCATCACGAGCCAGAGGCAGAGGAGGAGCAGCAGCGGCTCCGCGGTCGTCGCTCCGTGGCTTCTACGACAGCAGCAGCTATCAAGGAGAAGAAAAAGAAAAGTAATTTTGAATTTGTCTGTATCTCCTGAAAACTATTTGATTCTTTAGTGTCTTATGCATCGAGTTTCGGCCTTTTTTTCTGCATATGCACCTGCGTATACACCCCAATATTCCGCTGATCCACCGGTCCTGGTTTCGTTACTCGCTTGGGGTGTAACGACACGATATTCTTCTTTGCTTTATGCGTATGCATCGTGAGGGTTTTTAAAACTTTCTTGTATTTTCTTTATTATGAAAGGCTTCTAAACTCTATCACCTTTTGTGCATCAGCTCTTTGCTTTCGTCAACACCACCGAGCGGCCCACAGGCAGCCAGAGAAAACCCTTCGCTCTGAATACCGCATCCATACACCCCCCAAATTTGTATGAAGAGCTTTCGTGTTTATATGGATCATATGAAAGATCCCGCCGACGGCTTCTTCTGTCTACACGTTTCTCTCTCTTGTCCCTGAGACTGTGGCGTTCACTTCTATTATACAAATTCGTATTCACCTCTACTTCTTCTCCTCGTGCAGAGATACTGCAATTCAGCAGCAACTGAGACTGCTGCCTTCGACTCTCACCGGGTTTTCAGCTGTATCTGCAGCTCAGCAGCAGCACGAGAAGAGGTGGCTGGCTCTGCCCAACTGTTATGGATGGTTGTTGTTGAGATCTGTATTTTGAGTGGCGGCGTTGATATGTATCTAAGAAAAGAAGTATTTAATTGAATTTGTTGTTGTGTTTTTATCTGTTTACTTTTCCCAAAAAAAAAAAAAAAAAAAAAAAAAAAAAAAAAAAAAAAAAAAATCAGCAGCAAGCCTCACGCAGTGCAACTGTCTCAGCTGCTGCGGTGTACAGACAGCCCGTTATAAAAGGATGGCTGAGACGGGTGTTTGCAGCAATCATAATTCTGCATGCAGTCTGCTTTCTATACCCTCAAAAACCCCAAGAAAATGCCCCTGTGGATATATATGCAACACAGAAGGCAGCGACGAAGACAGCACAACAACAGCCCCCCAAACCCCCAACTCAACTGAAGCTTCTGGCGCTGCTGCTCGCCATCTTCATCTCAGGTGTATAGACAGCTCATCTGTGTCAATAAAGGGGTTTCAAAGGGCTGTACAGACACCCGGAATGTCAGCAGCAAATGAGATGCAGCAGCAGCTGCTGCAGCAACAAAGCAGCAACGACGAGCTGACAGCAGCAGCAGCAGCAACAGCTGCAGCAGCAACTGCAGCAGCAGATGCAGCAGCAACTGCAACAGCAGGAGCAGCAGCTGAAACCATTCATATAAAGCTGACGCCGGCTCCTAAGCAAGGGCAAAGCCCCTCCCCCAGTTGCTGCCCTCAGGGGATAGCTAGACTACGCCCCACCCCTAGTTGTAGCAGCAGCAGCAGCAGCAGCAGCAGCAAACAGTGCATGCAGCGCGGTGCTGCTGCTGCTGCTGCTGAGGGTTCAAGTGAACAGAATGTAATATCTAAGGCGGATGAAGCAAAGGCAGAAGCAGTCGTTGCACCGCCCGCGGCGGCTATAACCACGCAGCAGCAGCAGCAACAGCAGCAGCAGCAACAGCAACAGCAGCAGCAGGAGTTGCAGCAGCTACAGCAGCTGCTGGAGGAGTACAGTCTTCGTCGTTCTGCGTTTGAACGCAACAGCAGCCAGAGATATGAAAGAGTATTAGAAGCAGCAAAACCACGGAGGCGATCGAGTGCAATATGGAATACAAGCAGCAGCAGCAGCAGCAGCAGCAGCAGCAGCAGTAGCCAGCTGCGGCTGCAGCTACAGGTTCCCTCTGGTGGGGGGCCCCCGCATGCATCTACGCATGCACGACGAAGGGGGGGGGGCCCCCATGACGGCGATGCAGCTGAAGCAACGATGACCTCTTCGTCAGGAGAAGAAGCTTCGTGCAGAACAAATGATGAAACAACAAGCGGGAGAGATAGCCAGGGGGGGGCCCCCTCGCAGCAACATGAAGGGGGGGGGGCCCCCCGGAGAAGCCGAGGGGGAGCTCATCGTTCTTTTCCTTATCGGCAGTTTCATGTACACCACTTTCTGCCTGAGCCGCAGAATAAAGTTGGTTTGTTGACGCACCCAACGCCAGCACAATTCAATAAATATCCGAAAGCTAGAGGTGTATGGTTTGACCCACATAGAAACCTCGTTCGTACATGCTGGAAAGAAAACGGAAAAGCAAAAACAATGGGTTTCCCTGTTAATAAATTTGGTTTAGAGGAAGCAAGAACTTTAGCTGTAGAATATCATTATTATAAATGTCCTACTGATCCTCTTCCTGATGATTTGCTTTCTCTTGTTCCGAGAAAGCCACCACATGCATATGGTTGGTGTTAGCTAGCTAGCTAGCTGTGTATACACCTGAAATATAAAGTGGGAACCTTGTCTAAATCATCAAACTTCA